CCCCCCCCGCCCCCACTTAGTAGATAACAGGAAGCTGCCTTCTAGGGGAGGCAGTACACTTTGCTAGAAGCTCACCTTTACAGCCTGCTGATAGCCATCTATTTTTACGGCCCAAATGAACAGCATCACCTTCCTCCCTCCTCTCCACATAAAAAATAGATTTAAAAAAACCCATAATAAACCTTGTGAGAAGGTGACTTAAGTCTTTGGCACCACAGAGGCGACCTCTTCGTGCCTCAGTGGGCTAAGCCAGCTGGCCAGAGGGGCCAAGAAGTGAGCTAAGCCAGGGAGCTTATTGAAGACTGGCCAGCAGACAGAGGAGAGGGACAGCAGCCGGGGCACAAAGATGGGGAGCTGGGGCGTGGGAGGTGGGGCTGGAGCAGTCGACACTGGTTAGCATAACGCAGATCCGTTTGAGGGCAGTGATACTGCAGGTCTTCACCCTGGGTCCAAAGACTCTGTGAAAGAGACCAACGCGAAAACAAAACCAAACCCACCAAAGAGCAGAGAAGCAGATCAGGGGAGACATTTCCTTTCCAAATGGACCTAAACAGTTAAATGGATCCTGGCAATTAGAATAATTAGATAATTAGATTGTGATCTGTGGGCAAAGAGACGGAAACCTGTCTCAGCTAAGTACACTTGGTAGCAAAACGCGCTCAGTTATAAAGGGAGCGTGCTCTCAGCAGGTATATTTCACGGGGCTCGAAAAAAAATGGAATAAAAATGTGCAGCTGATGAGTTAGATTTAGGCAGCCAAAGGGATTTTGCCTGGGGCTCCATTAGAGCCTGCACTGCGAAGTCCTACCATCACTACTGCGCCTCCATCAACGGATTTTTATTTAAGCCAACGCGTTCAGAGCACAATTCCATGGTGAATAACCTTTAAGGTTACATTTGCCTTTTCCTTGCTTCTTGCAAACAGTGCGTAATCCACGAGCGCATTTGTTGGCTGTAAAGGTGTACAACAGCAATTTTTGCAATGACAGTGCGGAGAGGGAATATGAGATCTGTGTGCTAATGAGCTGACACTGCAGAGGCTGGGGCGATGTAGTGTGGAGTGCACTACAAGTGCACAGCAGCAACACACGGGAGGGGACTTCAAGGGAAGCCGAGGCGCCTCCCGAGGAGCCAGGGCGGCAAAGCCACGCAAATGAGACCCGGCCCTCCCTCGGTGTTTCCACAACCCCCAAAGCCCGGGGACGATCAGATGGGGTTTTTCAAGAACAGACATGTAACTTAAAAACATGTGTGTACATCTCTTTTTATACACCCTGGTTGTGTGTGTGAACGCATGGATCCTGAAACCATATATGCACACCATCCTCCCTTCTGGGGTCATCTAGCTAAACTGAAAAGTCAGATAGCAAGCGCAATTAACTCCTATGAAATGGGAACATGTGCTTCAAATCAGATGAGTCTCTTCAATAAACTTTAATTCACCTGTGAACCGAGATCCCAAATGAGCCACGTTTCAAAGCCAAAGAGGCTTTTATTGGCCTCTTAAGACACAGAACGAAGTTGGAGTCTGTCTTAAGTAAACCTCTTGGGGGTTGTGCAAAAAAAAAAAAAAAAAAAAAAAAATTGGTTGCTGGTGAAGAAGAGTCTTTAAATATGCTGCCCGGGATTCATTGCGAGGAAACCCTCTGAATACATTGGGGGAGGGGATGTGGAGCAGGGACACACACAGAAAGCATTACCTTTTGTTTATTCTTCAGGGGTTTGTTTACCTGCATACCTAAGCCCTGGAAAGTGTGTGCCCGCCCAAGGATTGGGGATGCAGGGAATATCACGGGAAGAAATTAATTCTAGGGCTGAAACTAGGAATTCTGAATGGAAACAGGGAAAAGTTTCTTTAATTTTTGCCTTCCTGTTCCATACTGAACCAGATAGGAGAGGTGGGTGACCAGATTTGGACTCATCAGGGGTTTTCTCCAATTCTCCCTAGGTCTCCAGGAAGGGGCAGGAGAGAGGATCCAGGGTTTCTTCTCTGCACAATAGTGCAATCAGTTGGAAGAATGGAACCTGGGATCACCTGCCAGGCTTCAGTCCTGAACTAGTATTATTATGTCAGCATCTGAGATACATGATCTCTATTTCTCTAGGAAAAAGAACAGTTAAGCCTGGGGGTGGGGGGTGGGAAGATGAGCTACACCTCCAGGGCTCCCATGGACCCTAGAAATGCTTATTTTCTGCATTCAGAGACTATCAGATTGTGGTTGGACTAGTCATCTTTCTCATACTAAGCTTCTAAGCAGCAGCTGCCCGGAGACAGCTTTGGGATCTGGCCCCCATTCAATGATTGTGACATTCAGAGAGGAACTGTTTCGGGGACCAGAGAAGATGGTAGCTTTCCTCCTCTGTCTTCTGAGCTGTAAAGTCTGAGAGTGCAACAGGCAGCTGGGTATACATCACTGGTTTCTGGATATTTCTCCTGTGTGTGTCTTTGTGGGCATATATGTGTATTTGGCATAACTAAAAGCAAGGTCACTTTTTTGTTTTGTCTTTCTCGTTGTCCAGTGAGCCACACCCATTATCCCCCACATTTTCAAGCCCCCAGCCATAACCTAGCCTTGTAAGCTTTTAAACAGAAGTGCTGTGGATCGGGGGTATGGGAGCTGATCAATTTCTTTTCCTTTCCCATGGTTGTTCCTTTATTGCCCTGGGAGGTTAAGACATTAAGGCTACTCAACACTGATATGAATGACTTATTGCCTCAATTGTTCTCAAGCCTGAGCTTTTCACAGGGCAAGGATCATTTCCTTCTTGCTACTTGGTAGGGTTCCGATAGCCCTTAGCAGGTGGGTGTCAATCCGATTTGACCACAGAAAAACAGGACGAAAGACCTCGGAAATCAATCCATTCCTAAGAAGTTAATTGGCACTCTTATCCCAGTCCTCATCAGTGGAAAGACACTAAAGTGAGTTGAAATAGATATTATTCATTATTATTAATAAATCCTGCTAGTTTGATGTATTTGGTTTTAAATCTGTTCTAATTGATACTTAGGAAGCTGCATTTGAGATTCAGCCTCTTGACAAGATCACAGTGCTGCAGGATTAAGAGTCAGATGTGTGTTGTAAGTGCTGTAGCGACAGGCTGGGATTACTGAAATAAGATGCAAAGTATAGACAGACATTTTGTAACTTTCACACTTAGCTGGAATTAATAAGTTCCTATTTTTGTCAATGTCGGAAAGCCAATGAATGTCAAATACAGAGTATCTCAGAACATGTTCATATAAGGATCTGTACCTTCAGCTAAAATTTTCTTAAACCTGCTGAAGTGTCACATTTCTTGCAAAGTACTTCACCCCCATCTCCTTGACCTAAGCCTTCAAATCCAAGGAACCTGTGCCCTTGGTGACCCTTTCAACAGTTTTTGGAAGTCAGATATCCTTTGAGGCAGAAGAATTTGAAGGAAGTTATATACAAAGTTTCCCCCAATGAAACATAAATATCATTTCTCCCTTGAAATAAAATTTAAAAAACCCAAAATGCCAAACTACACCAGCCGTAAAAGCAAAACATATTTATGCCATCATCAGCCTCCCACTGTTGTGAAAACTTTTAGTAAAATAAGCTTAGATGAAGAATTACCAGTCTTTCTCATAAAACATTCCATTCAAGAAAAACCTGTGTCCAACAGGCTATTGGTCATTTGGGTTCCCATGGTTTTACTTCTCAAAATGTCCCCTTTCCAGAGGAACAATCAGAGCACAACTAGGTATTTCAGAAATGGCTTTGGGGCTGATGAAATTCCTCCCTTTTGAAATTCAGGTTTTCTGCTGCAAGCTTCCCCCCTCCCCTCCACCTTTTGCCCTAAGAAGAATCGGGGGGGGGGGGGGGGCCGTGAACAATACTAGGGGAGGCAGAAGTAGCTTCCCAAATAGTAACCCGAGCACTGTCTTCTCCCTTCCCTTCAGTTTGCCAGGCGTTCATCACTTGTAATGGGTTTGTCTTATCAGTTCCTATCAGAGCTCTCTTAGTAAGAAAGGTGATATTATAGGACAGAAAGAGGCCAGGAAACCCAGCCTGATCTGTGCCTCAAGGTCACTTGTTTGCAGAATTTCTCATATTTGGTTCCTAAATATTAGGTGATTGTCAAATTCAGCTCATTCCTACAGCCAGGCGCGAGCTTTAACAATCAAGTAATGTACATCCTGAATTGACTCAATCAAGAGTTTTTTTTTTTTATCCCATCTGAAGAAATTTCCCTGAACAACCATGCTATTTTTTTTCTTTTTTTTTTTCCAGCCCAAAGAGGGGAGTGTGGGGGAGGGAACGCCAGTTTAGCAAGGAGGAAAATAAAACTTTTGCATCTAACGTTATTCACAACAGAGTTTTGTGCACTGCCTTAAGTCCCTCAGCAGGAACCTACGGAATTGATTTATGCCGCATGAAACCTGGATTGAAGGAGAGCCCCCGATATGTCTACTGAGGCAATCACCCCCCCCCAGCACACACGCAGACCCCAAGTCCCACAAGCAAAATGCAAGTGAGGTCCCGAAGGTCCCAAAAGGGAGAAAAAGCAGATCTACTTACAAGCATTAGTCACAGAAAAACTATTGGAAGAATCCAAGTGATCTACGTGGTAATTCAAATGGAAGGGCTTCTCCGTGGTGTTCTGGTTGGTGTTGTATAACTGCACGGCAAAGCGGAAAGCGCTGTGCTCCTGCACCGTGTTTCTCATGAAAAGTCCACCTATAAGCAAAAGGAACCGAGATTTGGTTCGTGTACCCTCCCAGGACCGGCTAGAAACTGGGGAGCACTACAGATAGGGGATATCTCTCGATGGCACTGGGGTGTGCGGTGATTATTGATTTTCAACCTGTGTGTCTTTCTAGACTCTTGTGAACTCAAATTTTGGCCAAGAGAAACCTGGTTTTCCTCCCGACTGAAGAGGAAGAGAAGAGGCCAGAGGCAAGGGGGAAAGGGGAGAGGGGGCTGCTTTGGGGACTCGGTTCTTTCTCGGGCAGTAGCTTCCTCTCCACTTCTCCCCCCCACCCCCCACCCTCACCCCGACGCCCATCTCCACAAGCTGGTTCATCTTTTCCTGGTGCAAAGGGAAGGGTTGGCAAGAAAAGCGATTCCGTTCCCCCTGCTGCCCCATCCTGTTCCCGGCAGCCATCCCCCCATCCCCCCTGGACAATTCGGGGGTTTGGTTCAGTAACGGCAACAATCCTAACTTCTCAGACTCGAAAATACAAGACAGAAGCTGAGAGAACTCTCTGCCAGCGCCCGGGAGCCGGGCTCCAGACAGACACAGCGGCAATTCATGAATTCGTGGTCTGCGTGACTTCGCCGCCCGCCCGCCCGCCCGCTCGCACGGCTCCCTGCCTCACACCCGCGCCTGCCCCATCCGCCACCGACCCTGGCTGCCGCCCGGGTCTGGGGAACCCGGGGGGGGGGCTTCCAGCTACCCCAGCTCCAGCCGGTCTCCGGCAGACGGACACGCGGGACGGGGCGCCCTGGCGCGGCCTGACAGGCAGCATCACCCTGGGACAACTTCCAGCCGCGGCACGCACGCCATGGCAAAGTCCAAAGCAGCCAGCCGAAAAGCCGCGACTCTTCGCCCCTTTGCAGCCTCCCGGCCTCCCGCACGCCTCCCCTGCTCCGCTCCTCTCTGAAACCCCCGGGAGCCCACCGCTCCCACCCCCAGCCCCGGGAGACCCCTCTCGCGTCCCCGCCGCTCCCCAGACCAGCCGGCTCCCTGGGGCTCAGATCCCCGAGGCTCCTGCCGGGTTCCCGTCCCCGGTCCCCTCCCCTGGCCATGCAGGATGGGGCCCCGCGGCCGCAGCAGCCCCGCCGGGGCAGTGGTCTCGGGTGCAGGGGAGCCCGGCCCGACTGGCTGCTTGCTCGCGCTTACCTATGCTGATGGTGTTGGGGAATCCTCCGTGAGAATGACCCAAAAGCCCCAGGACTAAAAGGAAGACCGCCCGGAGCACGTTTTGCCCCATTTTCTTCTGCCTGGCCATGCTACGCCTAAAACGAAGCTGACAAGAGCATGGGCGCAACTCAGGAGTCGTCAAAATAATAATAGAAAAAGAAAAAGAATTCGCCGGCTCTTACACCCCCTCCCCTCAACTTGCTCTCGCTCACTCTTCCTTTCCACCCCACACTAGTCCTCCTCCTCCACCGCCTCCTCTCTCTCTCTCTCTCTCTCTCTCAGTCTCTCTCTCTCTCTCTCCCTTTCTTGTTCCATCTCCAGGCTCTCTCACACCCCCTCCCCGCCCCCCACCTCACTTCTGTCTTCACACCAATCTGGAAGGCGGGTTCATTGGCTGCAAGCTCGGTTCGCCAAAGCTATCTCTCTCCCTATCACTACGAGAGAGAGAGAGAGAGAGAGAGAGAGAGAGAGAGAGAATGAGAGAGAGAATAAAAACCTAAAACACCGAACAAAACAAAAAAGACAAAACACCGAGAAACAAAACAAACAAAAAAACCCCAAAGAAACAAAAGAGAGAGAGAGAGAGAAAGAAATTATAAAGAAAATCCGAGACTTTTCTTCCCCTAGAAGATGGTGGGTCTAAAAAGGGGAAAAAAGAAGGAAAGAGCGGAAAGGCTCAGCGCCGGTGAATTGGGCTCTTCCAATTGGGCCGGTAGGGGGATATTGATCAAAGTTGATCTGACGTGGAATTAAAGCCGCACACCGCTTAGCTTCACTGCAAACTGCAGCCCCGGACTGCAAAGCCTCGGCGCTGGCGTTTGTCAACACCGGAGATGGGATCGATAGAAATACACTACTCTTCACGTGGGCTAGCCTTTCAAGCGGCAACTGGCCCTTTGAAAAAAAGAAAGAAAAGCTGCATTGCCTCTGCGTTTGTGTGTCTGTCTTAAAGAAGGGGGGTCTTGGGGGGGCGGTTAGCGGTTACTCCGGAGTCTTTGTAGAGACTCGGAGAAGCAGTTCCCATCACAATGCGCCCGAAGATGCTGCGCATGCCTGATCCCTGCCGCTCAGTTTTTAACAGCAGAGATCCGAGGGCCAGTGAACAACCGCCCCCCCACCCCCACACACCCCCATGGCTCTGCGAGGCCAGTACCTCCCCTTACCCAAGTGCAGAGCCGGGCTTGCGGCGGGGGAGAAGGCAGTGATGGGCAGTGTGAGGCTGACTGTTTTGGAGGGCTTAGAAAAGTATGTGCGTGGAAGTGGTAACTAAAAGGTTAAGGAAAAGGACGCTCAGTCCCACGGAGGAAGGAGGAGAGAGGTGTGGGAATGTGCTGGGATAAGGGTGGGGATTGAAAGTTAAGGTTGGAGGAAACTGTCCCTAGCTGCTTTGCTCCCTTGCTGTAGCCTCTGGACAAAGCAGCCTGGCCCCTGACTGATGACCCCAGAGGCTATCGATTCTCCTCCAGTCCTCTTTTATTCCCTGTTCTAAGGGGAGGAAAGAACCTTCCAAGTCAGGCAGTTTGGCCTGGATCTCCGTTGGGGGATGGTCCCCTCCACAAGATCTTGTGTGGGGCTATAGATGCTTCTCCCTAGCCCCTTTCTCCAGTGGTGGGAGAAAAGAAGCTTCCTTATCTCCCAAGTCTTTCACTCCTACCCCAGCTACTCTGGAAGAGACGAGTTTTATTCCCCTCGGTGCCAGCTACTCTCCTCTTCATATCCTCTCCTCCTGGTCTATGGGAAAAATGAACTTTCCGGCCAGTGTACAGGATTCGTGGTATGTGTGGGGCAGGGGATATGGGGCAGGGGCTCAACTGGTCCACCAGTGACTCCAGAACTTTGGATTTGGCATGACCACAGATTGGAGCCTGGAATAGAAAATTTCCAAACCCTCGAGCAACCAGAAAAATGGTTCTAGGCTCTCCCCAACTTTATATCCAGTTTGATAATGCAAAATCTCTTTCTATCCCACCACTCATTGAAATCTTTTTATCTCCATTTGGATAGTCCATGGCTAAGAATGAGGGAGAAACGTGGCTGTTACAGGAGACTGAATTTGCAAGTGATTGGAGCATTAGGGCAAAGGAGGTAGCAGAGACCATGTTGGCCACCCCTTGATGAATGTGGAGAGTGACATGGCATGGTTCAGGAATATAGGCTTAGGAGGTTCAAGTCTATATTCTATTACTTATAGGCAGTGTGTGACCTTGAGCGGCTTTCTTAATCTGAACTCCAGTTTTGCCATCTGCAAAATGGGAATATTACTACTTCTTTCCCTATAAAGTGGTTGTGGATTAAATAAGGATTAAATGAAATAGTGGATACAAAGCCATCTAATTCAAATGCCTGACTCATAGAAGAATCAATAAATGTTAATTTCCCAACTCCCTTCCCTCTTTCTCACCTTTAAAAGTGCCCTTTCTCCCCCAGAGTGCCTCAGGCTGTCAGCCTCCCCTTTCTCCACCATCCCCAGACCTCACACCCTACTACCAAGGCTTTGCCAGTGTTCCATCAAAATCTTCCCATCAGGGTTCCTCAAGAGCCCTTGGAGACAGGAGAGAATCTGGTAGATGAATCTTGACTAAGGTTCTAATGGCAGACAGTGACAGTTTGCTATGAAAAGTGACATTTAGAGAACCTCTACTCTGTGCCAGGCACTGCATGGTCCTCCTTTTAGATAACATAGTTGCATTGTAATAGGAGCCTTCAGTACCTTGACCCAAAGGACTAATGCTAATGCAGAGTTGCAGTTTTGATTTCAGGTGCGGAGACAATATATTTTGGATGGAGCACACCTCACTTCACTCCTGAAAGCATCCGGGTCCCCATCTGTGCTTGGCTAGCCATTAGAAGAAGTAGATGAAGAGATCTGTGGCCATCTTCACTGTCATTTGGCTTGAAGAGTAACGGGGTGGATCAGTAAGAAAAGATGAGCGGAAGAAAGGCATTTCAATGCCTCTGCACTTGAAAATCCTCCATTGGATTCATCACTGTAAATGTCACCTCTCCTTCCTGTTTTCAGTCTCCCCTGCCCACTACCTGTTTTCCTCTCTTGCATCTGCTGCCACTTTTTTAACTTTTAGCTGCCAGTGGCAGCTGTTGGCAGAATTGGATTAGTCCCCTCTGAGCCAGCAGGGACCCAGTGCTGAACTAGGCATATTGCTGTTGGTTGAAAAGTCCGTATAATACATGCAAATTCTTTTGCATTCAATCCCTCACGCAAGAAAGCAGTGAGATGCTTTTTGAACTTCAGCTTTGTTTTTCCAGTGAGGAGCCAGAGATTGTTCTAGCAGCATCATAGCTGCCTGAAGTTGCCGACAAAACCCCACATCTAGCTCTCTCTCTGCGGTTAAGAGGGATCTCTGCTGGATTCGGAATTACCTGGTAGTCTTAGAACCCATTGTCAGCACTTCTAAATGAGCTCTATGAGACAGCTGAAGCTGCAAGAAAAGAATTCATTGCAGTTCTTATGGAGAAGTTGTTTGTAATCTCTCATGAAATGGTTTAGTCAGGTGTAGCCACAAGAGGGGACACAAGAGAGGCACCAGAAAAGAAAGTTTATTATACTCACAAGTTTCAGAGAAACAGAGTCACTGTATGCCATGAAGGAAGGCCACACAGGGCAGGGGAGCACCGAAGGAGTGGGCTCAACCACACAGATGGGGAGAGAGAGAGAGAGAGAGAGAGAGAGAGAGAGATTGACCCATAGGCAAGTGCTTTTATCAGGATGGAGCACACAAGCAAAAGGCATGAGGGGGTTTCACTGGTACATTTGAACCACAGTAGATCACAGGGGAGGACAAGAAGGGGGACTTGTGGCAGGGGCCATCCTTATCACAGTGGGGTGCCCTGTCACCTGGGCAGGGTGCTCCCAGCCCTTTTGGTTTGTGGGGATGTTGAGGCAGAAGGAAGATATGAATTTTTTTTTTTTGAAAATACAAAGTTTCAACGTTTACAATACAAAAGGGAAAACAGTGCTTCTCTTCATGAGGTTTCTGTTCGTTTCAGGCTTGGGGTAGATAGGGGCACTTGGGTAAGCAGAAAGAAATGTCGGCCAGTGGATTTGGGGGAGAAGATCTAACTAGACATTGATCTTCATACTTGTTCACTTGACATATAAGTGAAATAAGGAAAATAATGACAAAAATCATCCTGATTCATTGGAAGGAAACTGCTGTACCTTTTAAAAGTAAGGAAACCAAGATTCTATATCCTTTGCCTAATAGAAAGATAACTTCTTCACTGTTGGACTTGAAACTTTGATATCTTCAACAAATGTTGGACCACCTGCTATTTGACAGACTCTGGTAGGTACCAGGGAGGTAAGGGAGCGAGAGAATTTCTGCTTTCAGTGAATTTCAAGTTCAGAGAAGGAGCAGATGCATTCAGTGGCAATGACAATGTAACATGGTAAGTGCTGTGAAAACAGTAAGCACCAGGTACCATGGGAGTACAGAAGAAGGTGTTCAAAGATCTGAAACAAGGTACTTTCCTTATCCCAGATTCAGTCCCATGCCATCAAAAAAAGAAGATAGAACAAGGTGATTTCTAAAGACCCTTACTTCAGGTTATGATCCCAGGGTCCTGGGATCGAGCCCCGCATCAGGCTCCCTACTCTGCGGGGAGCCTGCTTCTCTCTCTCCCACTTCCTCTGCTTGTGTTCCCTCTCTCACTGTGTCTCTCTTTGTCAAATGAATAAATAAAAATCTTAAAAAAAAAGATTTTATTTATTTACCTATTTGAGAAAGAGAGAGAGTGAGAGAGAGAGAGAGAGAGAGAGAGCACAAGGGGGGGGGTAGGTGGATGAATAAGCAGACTCCCTGCTGAGCCTGGAATCATGACCTGAGTGAAGGCAGACACTTGGCCAAATGAGCTACCCACGTGCCCCATAATGCTGCATTCTTGATGGATTGTTGCTTTAGGTATAAGAAATAAATAAATAAATAAAGACCCTTACTTCTCTCCTGTTCTATGGTCCTCTGGTTCCAGGAGGCAGGATTATCTTAGGATCAGAAAAACTGTCCAAACTGTAGCCTACAATTCTAATCAAGGAACTACTTTAGGTACTCCCGATTCTTTATGGCCATCTCTTGCACTTTCATTCCTGGATTCTTTGGCAAGAATAGAGTCGGTCATATCTGGAGACCCAGGTTGAGTGTGACAAATAAGAAAGCCTGGGTCTTCCATCTAACTTCTCTGTCGTTCAATCTTCTCTCTACTCCCCCTCCAGGAACCTCTGTAGAAGTCCTCTATGTAGATGTCATCCTTGGTGTTGCTGAATAAATCCACAGCCCTGCAGAGCTGAAATTCTAGGCATGGGCCTAGTTGGCACTGCTTCTGGTGGGAGTTTATGTGTAGCTCAGAGGAGAGGTCTTATGAGCTTGGGTTTGATATGCCCAGAAATGGATCCATAGCAATTTCCAGGAGGAGACAGTCTCACCAAGTGAGCATGGCCATGGAAGCAATTGTTTATCTTGAATTATTTTCAGATTGGCTTGCTTTTTATAGATGGGAAGGGTGTTTACAACTCATTTGTTTTGCCCTAAGGATATCTCCAGGAGGTATTTGTGGGGGCATAATTACGGAGATGATCTTTCCCCTTTAGTACCTCTGTTCCAACTTTTTCTCTCTGGACTAAGCACTTTCACATTGCCTTCTTTAGGTACTCTCAGGGCTAGTGACCATGCTCTTGACTCCTTCAGTTCCTGTATCAGTTAGGATGCTTCGTGCTTCAGATAAGACAAAACCCACTAAAACTGGTCTAAATAATAAGGGCGATGCATTAACTCACATCTTTGGAAGAGACAGAGGTAAGACTACTTGAGAATTGATTAGACTCAGTAGTTCAAAAATTTTATCAAAGACCTAACTTCTTTTCCTTTCTCCCCCACCCCTTTTTTTGTCTACCATATGATGGCAAAATGTCTGTAGCATGTCTTATCTTCACATCTGCATCACTGGTTCAAAATGAATCACATGAACATTCATGATCGAATCCTGTGGTCAAGTAATGTCATGCTTAGAC